GGATTTGCTGGTCCTCAAGCTCAACACGGAGATCTACATCTAGTGCCTTTAGGCGATAATGTTGCCCTGAGTCAAGAGGATGGCTGCGGGAAACCCGATATCTGGCAGCAGAACTCTACACCATGCCACACAAGCAGGAGAACCCTGTCATGGCTGTCAGACAGTTTTTGCGACCACATCACCCCTTACACCTAATTCCCAAAACTGCAACCACTTTTATTAATTATTATGTGTGGTGCGCAGTTGAACGAGAAAGCAACAAAACTCCTTGTAACACCAAAGATGAACTGGAGGCCAGGATTATGGCAGCATTCAACAACTTAAACTAGGAGACCATCCAGAAGAGACGCAGGAGATTCCAAAATCGTCTGGAGGCGTGGTTGATGCCAATGGCGATTTTATTGAATACATTTACTCTTTCGTATTTCAAGATATATATTTTTGTGTGTGTAATTTTGGTAAATATAGCCGTTAAAATGTGATGCCAGCGTTATTTTCAGGGTTGCGTAATTTAGACGACAATTTATCCATCGCACCCTGTAATACTGGTTTCAAATACCCACCAGTCAACACCCAGAACTAAGAGCAAGACTTCGAGCTTAATTACGTGCTTTTGCAATATGACATCTCAAGGTCTCGCTGCATCTTAAATAGCAGAAAAGCAATCATATTGCATCGCTGTACATGCTTGCTTGTCCACTCTACAGTCATACCCTGGCGCCCTCAAAATTTCATCTCTTTCTGTCCATGGACGAGGCACTTAGCGCTTCTTTAATTACGATGAGATGAAATCTACCTTCATGTCTCATTCAAAAAATACACAAGTGAAACGGAAAGTGACTATTTTGAGGATTGCATTTGAATTCATTTTGGTGTAGTCACTGTTAAATTTAAGTTTAAGAAAGGATTTTTCTATTTGACTGACAATCCTACAAGTAAAAATGATTTATTCAATATTTCAAACGGTTTAAGAAGAACATTCAAAGAATTCTTTTTTTTTTTTACTGGCAAGTCAATATCTGAATCATTAAGAAAAAATAAACATAAAAATTTCATTTTTGATCAAATGTACCGGGCACCCACCATACAATTTCCGGCATCTGGTTCGACATGTTTGTCCTCGAGAAGCCACTGTGCTAAACCAGGTTTCGTGAAATTATTTACTTCGTTTATAATAGTCTAGTAAAAATCAACAATGGAAAATCACGTTAATAGTAATATATATATATATATATATATATATATATATATAAATCTTACTTATTATAAAACGCAGATTGTGTGTGTGTGTGTGTGTGTGTGTGTGTGTGTGTCTGTTCGTTTATACATTGGATCGGATTTCCTACATTTTCAACCGATTTCAACAAAACTTCACAGGACTACGTAAAATTACCTTGCGGTGGTTCTGACAGCGCCAAAAATTGGAAAAACACAATTGTTTTTGCACGAAATCAATTTGAAAACACGATAAAACACGATTCTGTTGCCAGAATGAAAAGGGGGACAACTCATGTGTGTGTGTGTGTGTGTGTGTTCATTTATATATGGGATCAGATTTCCTACATTTTTCTACCCATTTCAACAAAACTTCACTTTTTTTTGGCAGGTAGTGTTTTTTATTGTCTTGCACACTTTTTTTTAATTTTTACATTCAGAATGCTTTAAAAATTCCATTTACAAGACAATTGTTTATAATGAAATTCTATTCAATCGGTAGACTCATAACGATTGAAAACAATGTTTTTATGTGAGTTTGGGTTTGACCAATTCGTAAAAAAAAAAAAAACTAATTAAGACATGCGTGTCTGTCAACCTTAAACAATAATATTTGTCAATTTTATTTTTCAGTCTTTATGATGGTCGATACTTGATCTATCTCTTACTGTTACATCCCCGGACAACGCCGGGCTCTACTGCTAGTATATATATATATATATATATATATATATATATATTGTGTGTGCGTATTTAGGCAGCATTTTTTCATTGATGCATGTTTCATTAAATAATATAGACAAATTTATTTATTTATTTTATACAAATTTCTTTCGTGTCGTCTGATAAGCTTAATAACATTACCATTGAAAGACAAAAGAAAATCACCATATTGATACATGTTTTTTAATCCTATCTAAGCTTTCGGCTTACATAAGCTATTATCAAAGATGACAATAACATTACAATATATTAAACAATATACGGACATGGCAATAATGATTTTTTTGCTGGCATGGAAGATTTCTAAGTAACGACAAACTCGTACATACGAAACGCTGGAAGCGAAAATCGCACCGCAGTTCATGACGTCACGCATGACCACGTGAGAGTGAAAACGAGAATGTTAGCTATGGAAATCGTTGGTATATATATATATATATATATATATATATATATATATATATATATATATATATGTGTGTGTGTGTGTGTGTGTGTATTTAGGCAGCAATCCTTCTTTTATGTACATTTCATTGAATACGGCAGACAAGGTGATTTGATTTAGTTTTTTTATACAATTTCTCATTTCTCCTTCTTTTTTCTTTTCGTCTGGTAAATTATATAAAAACTGTCCAATTGTTCTTTTTATCCGAGCGCTTTTGGCTAAACATTTAGCCATTTTCGATGTTGACCGTGTTTTTAAAATGAAAACATTATATAAATACATACATAAAACAAACTATTTCTTGCTGACAGTTAACATAGTTCAACCTCGAAAATGGTTAAATGTATAGCCAAAAGCGCTCGGATAAAAAGAAAATTTGAACAATTATTATACAATTTGTCCTACCGATGAGAAAAATTATTAGAACACATGAGAAATTGTATAAAAAAAATAAATCAAAGCACCTTGTCTGCCGTATTCAAAAATTTTGCATACATACATATATATATATTTATGAATAAAACTGACAATAGGAAAACTGGTAATTGCTGACGCGTTTTCGTCCAATGTGGACTTTATCAAAGCAAAATACGTATTTTGCTTTGATAAAGTGCACGATGAACAAAACATGATTACCTATTTTCCTATTATCATTTTTATTCATAAATATTGTCTTCTACCGATTAAATCGGAGAAATTTTCATATATATATATATATATATATATATATATATATATATATATATATTTTTTATATATATATATATATATGCACATACATATGTATATATGTGTGTGTGTGTGTGTATTACTTAGCTTAAATCAATCTTTTTCAAGCCCACAGGGGAGAAGAATAGGATTTGATACCTTTCTAAGGGTATTAGCATGTAAGTGAATGCAGTGGATTTGAGTGGAATTCGAACTCCGCTCTCCGATTCCTCAATCCGAGCCGCTATGACTAAAATTAAAATCAGATCTCTTACTGTTGCACTATAAGAATGCAGAAAAGTTTTCGGCTCAATCAAAAAGATGCCTGTTCATTTGGCCACACCTCTGTTTTTCTACAAAACAGAATAATTATACATCGCGTGCGAAGATTTTATTTTTTTCCCAGACACGAGGGAAGAGCTCGTTATCCTCATTTTCATTACCATATTTACAGTGTTTCGACCGTTGTACGCTCCAGCCTTCTTCAGGTGATTGGAAGTTCAAGAACACATGGCCCAGTGGATAAAAACGTTGGTTAGATCTTGTACGTTCAATACCAGGCCACAGCAGTAGTGAACCATAAAATCTTGGAGAGTTGTTTTAAAGGGAAATAACTGAGACATCTGGAAGAGGCATGTGACGTGGAACTAGAACAATTTACCCCGGTGGACGAAATAAAGGGCTCAGTTCGAAATTCCAATCATCTGAAGAAGACCGGGACGTACGACGGCCAAAACGTTGTGAATATTGTAATGAAGATGGGGATAACAGTCTGAATAATGTAAATAATGCAAGTAATTAAGTTTTAATTGATTTCACCTGTTTGCATTAGTGTCTGATAGTAATTAGTCTAATTCCTTTCTGTTCCAGTTACTTGGGTCGAACTTAAGGAAGTGAAGTCTTTTATTTTCGGACATGTCGGTCATCTTAACTCGTTCACCTTTCAATCCATTTCAATCTGCATTTTATGATTTTCAGCAACGAACGTCATCAACCACTTGTTTATCAATTACTTCAGGCTTTCAGCTGAAGTTACAAAACAGTGAAAACTGTTTTTGTGGCTAGGATTTCGATACTCTTATGTTTAATACACATATGTGCCTGGCATTAAATAATTGCAAGTTCATCTGATAGCATAGTAGACGTGTATTTTTCTTTTAGGCAATAAAACACCAATAATAATAAAAAAAAAACTACTAAGAAAAATAAACTATATATAAGCACGAGACTTTCGTCTGACGTATCAATGCTGCAGACAAGTCTATATACGATTTAGAGGCCTCTGATAAAATTCAGAGTTTATGATTATATCACGTTGAAACAACGGATCTTGAGCGATCATCGAAGTTGGTTAGTTTTTAGATGGATGAACGTTTGGGAATATGGATTACTGTAAACTTGGATGTGTGCGTGGTGTAACGGATAACAGCTCGGGATGACAAATCGGAGAGCTGAGTTCGAATTCCAGTCGGGTTTTAATTATACACATACCATCAGGCGGTCGTCAATCGAAAACAGATCTCAGCTTCGAACTAGCTCTAACAGCTCAATGAGAGGATAACTGGCTTGTAACATTCAATGCCTCCAAAACGAAGCTAATAACCTTCCAACATCAACCAGCAGACCGTGAATTTTCTCCTGTCATGTTGGATGGTTAGAGTCTTAATGAGCCTCTTTCTCGGCAGGGTTAGGGTTAGGATTAACCCTAATCCTATACCCTCAATGAGTCTCCTTCGACGTCTTTTGAGAGTTAAGTTACCTCCAGACCTCCAGCGGTTCTTGTGAAGAATCTGTTTGAGACACGCTTTATACCAATGGAATACGGAGGGAATGAGGGTGATTCAACCCTGTGGATGTAACACGTTGGATCTTAGCTGTAAAGACCAAGGATTTGGAGGAAGAATTTCTCATGTCAATCTCTCTCTCTCTCTCTCTCTCTCTCTCTCTCTCTCTCTTTACCACGTCCTTTCAGGACATTTTTCATACTAATGTTCACCTAATACAAGGCCCAAGAGCCACTCGAGATAGAGGGTTACCGAATGAGGTGTGTCATATGAACGTAAGAGAAGGAAATAGGATGAGAAGATAATGAGGATATGGCAGATAGATAACGATTGACCTTTAGACTTGACGAGGTTAAGATCGTAGTGCTCGGGAACATATCTACGTGGGAGTCTATTCAACAACACTCAATACGTCCAAAACGAAGCTAGTAACGTTTCACTATCACCGAGCAGACCCCGAATGTTCTCCTGTCATGATGAACGGCTGCAATATCAACGAGGGTCCCCTTGCTTTTGACGTCTGTTGGGACTCAAGTCTACACCAAACCTCAAGTGGAACACATATATACGATCCATCGCTAAAGAGGGTGTACCACTCCAGAAAGTATCTGACCCCTTCTGTTATTCTCTTTCTTTACAAGAATCAAATGAGACCATAAATGGGTTACTGCTACCATATCTGGGCTGGAACTGCTCAATCGTAGCTCCCCAACCATGACAGAGTACGCGGAATTATGCGCGATTAATTATTTTCAACCCTATAGCCAATTTCTCATTAGAAACCCAAGTTAGTCCAGCTTATTTTTTAAAAGTAGCTCCAAAACTCTTTACAATAGAGAAATTCAAAATCCAGAAGAGTTGATCTTTCAAAAGCACCTGATATAATGGAATATGCATAAACCTGTTTTCCCCCTCACTGGAACAGGATTAGCTGGTGTCCGTCATAAATACAGACGGACGTGTAGGTACGACGGAGTGTAAATCTGTGACGACGCCCATTAGACTACGCCATTGGCTATTCTATTGGTCTACACCTCTTACCTGTGACTACGACGAGTACCAGTCGATTACTGCTACCGTGTACTACTTGGTTACACTAGTCAAACCCACTTAGCTACTTACATCAAATATATCCCTTTCCGGGATATATCATAACCCAATAAAACAACTTTGTCTATTGGTATATTTGCTAGATTAAAGAAATATATGGAAGCACTTTTGGCGAATAGAGAAATGGTTTACACATGGAAGCTCAGAGCTACCAACTTATAAATTGTTTTCTTTCTCATTAGTAGCCCAAGTTCGTCCAGATTATTTTTAATAGTGGTCCTGAAAATCGCCAACTGCGATATTCAAAAATTTAAAACAGTTGGAATTTCTGGCAACCTTAGTTGGTGAAGCTTGCAACCGGAAACACCTGGACATGACTTGCACAGGAGGGAAAAACACATAACCTCCTCAGAACCAAAGTTCGACATTGCAAAATAGAGCTGACACTCAAGAAAATCCGGGCAGTACAGTGGCAAAAATGTTGTAATTAAAAAAAAACGGAGAAAGAAATTGTTGTGGTAGACCCTCTTACATTATAATGAACTCTTCCTCCTCTCATAAATACAAATTGCGAGAGTCGGACTGAAGCGCAGAGTGTGAAGTGAAGTGGAGTAGTAGACGCAGTACTAATCTACTTATTACTAAACACTATTGTTTTGTATATATCTTCAATATACTTTTTTCAACCTACTTTCGTCTTCCGTGTCTTTCTTTCTGGCCCCTAAAAAGGGCCACAACACTATCTATCTATCTATCTATCTATCTATCTATCTATCTATCTATCTATCTATCTCAGTCTGTTCATTATCTATCTATCTATCTATCTATCTATCTATCTTATTATCTATCTCAGCCTGTTCATTATCTATCTATCTATCTATCTCAGCCTGTTCATTATATATCTATCTATCTATCTATCTGTTGTGGTAAACCCTCCTACAGTATAATGAACTCTTCCTCCTCTCATAAATACAAACTGCTGTCGGACTGAAGCGCAGAGTGTGAAGTGAAGTGGAGTAGTAGACGCAGTACTAATCTACTTATTACTAACACTATTGTTTTGTATATATCTTCAATAGACTTTTTTCAACCGACCTTCGTCTTCCGTGTCTTTTCTTTCTGGCCCCTAAACAGGCCACAATAGAAATTCTATTCATTATGGGTCATCTTGCTAAATTCGCTGAATGGTCTGCAAATAAAGAACTGGGTCTCATATGGAAGCCCAGCAACACAAAATTTTGATTTTACTTTATTGTCATCAGAAACCCAAATTATCCCAGCTTATATTTAAAAGTAAAGCCCAAAGTCGCACTTCGCGAAAATCAGAATTCAGTCGCTGGTCATTCAACGAAGCAACTTTGCCTACAAGTATATTTTTGCTTGAGTAAAGAAATATATGGAAGCCCTTATGGGGAAAAGTGAGGGCTCAGGTTATTACTTGTTTGTCAAAGAAAAGCAATACATCATTTAATATATACTTGATTGTTAATCAATTATTGATGATATATTAGAAAGAGTTGACAGATAGTATAGAGAATTGAGTTATATATGGAAGCCAAGAATTGCTAAATTTTCATTTGAATTTCTTCTCATCAGTAGTTCATCACTCCATGGGATGGATTTCTTCATCTAACATTATTTATTATTAATATAAAATGCTTATAATGTTTATAATAATATGATACCTACATTAGATTAGAACTCTTCAAGATTGATATGAACAGACTTATATATATATATATATTTCTTCATTCTGTCGGATTTATATCCATTTATATTTGCTTATCATACTGTCCACTGGAAGTACAAACCTGAATTCATTTTGTTACATTGAGGACTGCATGCTTATCCGAAGATACAAGAATTTACTAGTCTCCGCGTATTACTACAACGAACTGCTTTCCATCGGAATCAAATTTTATAAAATTTTAAGAATACGTTTTTAAAGCGTCGCCCATTTGACGACAATGTGACCACGCTCAAACGGAAAGCTGATCATTCAAAATTTTCTATCATCTATTTTGGATAAGACTTGTTTTTATGTCCATCGTTTTCGTCGAGTTATACTGATTATGTTAATTGTATTGTATTTTTAATGAATATTGTCCTGAAGAAAGTTATTAAACCGAAACGTCAGACGTCGACATTTCATTCATAATTAAAACAACATAATCACATTCTAAGGATTTTTGTTTGTTTTTCCAGATATTGTCTTCATATATATATATATATATATATATATATATATATATATAAAAATATGTATATTGGGGAGACTTCACGTGATCTACAGACCCGCATCCGGGAACACAAAAGAGATTTACATTTAGATAAACATTAGGGCATAAATTTAATTTCACCAATGCCAGCCTTATCAAAAGGACATAACTCTTTAAATGTAATGAAAATATATTTATAGCGACATTATCAACTATTAACACACGTTTAAAAAAACTACATTATATCACCATTTTCTACAGTTCCATTATTCATGAATCTAACTTACGTTTTCCGAATACATAAAAAAAATCAATATATATACAAAATACGCAAGAGTTATCCTTTAATGAAAACTTATTCAAAATATCCTGCAGCGGCTTACTAAACTTTACATCCAGAATGTTTTCTTACACTTATTTGTATATTATCTGTTACTTCATTAAACGTGATACGTATCTAGCGAATAAATAATAACCAAACACAACATAACATTAATCTGCGTATCTTTGCTTATTATCATTTTTATCTTGAACTCTGACGAAACTTTAATAAGGTGAAACATGTAAGATTAAGATCTGTTCTTTTGCTATTATATATATATATATATATATATATATATATATATATATATATATATAATGCTTTTTTCAGAGGCACTTGTCTGCTAGCCAATCCTTCTTGCAAACGCTTGCTCAGAAATATTTGTATTTGTTCAACACATACGGAGCCCACATGTGCTTTGTGCTGTTATTATGCTGAGTAGACCTTAGTTAACTGATGCTGGGAGAGAAGACTTGATCAGCTAGATTGAACAATACAAATACACCCAAACACTCGGTCACGAAGGCTTGTAACATCGTGCTGGAACATCTGTTTCCAACGATGCTGCATGTTGAGATCCCCTCCCCAGACCGATAACATCAACAAATCGACCAAGGTAACATTCGAACTCAGTTCTCATGCTTGGAAAACAAACGTTTTAACACTACGTCACATTAGCATAGGGTTGATTGATTGGCTGTTTGGTAGGTAGGTAGATAGATCTTTTAAAGATTGATATGAACAGACTGACATATATATATATATATATATATATATATATATATATATATATATATATATATATATATACAAATGAGAAAGATCTTTTCTATTTAGCGCAGATCTGACATATAATTGGTTAATCAAGACATACCCACAAGTTTAATTCTGAACTTGTGTTCCCCGCTCCTTTAACTTCCGGGAAAAGAGTTAACAGTTTGTTTTTAAATTTTTTTAAAAATCATTTTATCACCAGTTACTGAGTATTGCCTGAAGAAGTACAATCAATCATAGTATTGAAACATGAAAGCTTTTGTGTAACGATTTCAACATGCTTTTATTATAATCTCTTATATTAAATAAAATGTATATATATATACATATACACATATATATATATATGGATGGAGAAAGGGAAAAAGAAAGAAAAAAATAGAAAGATGGGTGGAAAAAAGAAGAAAAGAAAGAAAAAGAAAGCTAGGTCGATAAATATGGCTAGAATAATTTCAATTGACAGACCAGAATAAAATTAATATTTTATTTATTTATTTATTTATTTTTTTTACTGATTTCAGACGGATCCCATCAGTTTTCAGCGTCATTTGCTTCTGGTATTTTCTAAATAGATGTTTAAAAATATTTTGAGGAAATTATGTTTCTTCTCATCAAAGATGCAACAAATTAATTAATGCTGCTTTAAAAATAGTTCCCAATCTTCACAAAATCAATTCGATTTATTCATATGAGGTTATCACCGAGCCACGATTTATTTTATTTTATTTATTTATTTATGTATCAATTATGAACTGTTGTTGTCTGTCTGTCCGTCTGTCCGTCTGTCTGTCTGACTGTCAGACAGTCTGTCACATTTTTCAAGCATTTTAACTTTATTTTTATCTTCATTTGTTCTTTTTCATATCTTTCAAATTGCAATACTTGTCACGTTATTTTCTTTGGATTTCGAGTCATTTTCCTATTTCTTTCTTTCTTTGTTTATTTATTTAGTTAGTTGTTCCTCTCTGTCTTTTTGGTTTGCTTTCTTTCTTTCTTTCTTTCTTTCTTTCTTTCTTTCTTCTTTGCTTGCTTCGTTATTTATTTATTTATTCCTTTTACACTTTCTTTCATGTTTTTCTTTCTTTCTATCTTTTTTCTTTCTTTCGTTGTTTCTTTCTTTCTTTGTTTCTTTCTTTCTTTCTTTCTTATTATCCTAACCCCCCAGTATTTTTCCTCCTTTCTCCTTCCTCATATACCTTACATTTTTTTTAGTTTTCTGTATCTTCCTTTCTTCATTGATATTTTAATATTTTTTGAGCTATTTTTCAGTTTATTTTTTCGTTTAGTTTTAACATCTTTCTTTTTTTCTTTTTTGTCTTTCTTTCTAATCTCCAATCTCACTTTTTCTTTCTTTCTTTCTTTCTTTCTTTACTTTTTTATTCTCTCTCATCATTTTCTTCCGTTCCGTCTTCTTTGTCTTCTTTTTTACATTTTTTTCGTCATTTTTCCATCTACTTCGTTGTTTGTTTTGTTTGTTTGTTTTTCTTTCTTTCTTTCTTTCTTTCTTTCTTTCTTTCTCAAAAATCACATTGTTTTACTGTTTCTAACTGTCTCCACGCCTTATGGCACACCATTATACTGCCTACATCCAAGCTGGTCTTCACCCCTGTAACTTTCCTATCATTCGCTTTTTCTCTCTTTCCCTTTCTCTTTCCTCCGCTCTCCCTCATTCAAAAATGTTTCTTTTTGCCCCTAATTTGTAATGGATAAAGGAACGCCTAATTGAATTATTTTAGTTACAATTCACATTTTATAAATAGTTTATATAAAGAAAAATGATAGCATTGTCAAAAAAATGTTTTAACAACACTGAAAATTACTTTCTATGAAAACTCGTTTTCATCATTAGAATCAGCTTGATCACCTTCACTGTCTAGTTGACAGTGTTATTTGTCCAATAGGAGTTCATTTTACGACATTATCCTGATTATTTCTCTTTCGTTGCATGTATACAAAATCTGGACATAATCCTTTCCAGCATTTGATCATGCAAAAACATTTTCAAACCTGATAAAATATTATCGAAATAAATTTCCTATATTTTTCGTCGCAGTCAGCACTAGTTTTCTTATTTTATCACTCTGCTTACATTTTATTAGTTGGGTGGTATGAAAGAAATTGAAGAAAGATAAATAAAAATAATCTTTATGCAACATACTTAACGCCAATAAAATAAATTCATATCTTTGATTTTGCATTTTAGAATAATACCTTTGGAAAATGAATAAAACCCATTTTATTACAGCTATAGTATACATGACAAGGCAAAGTGGGTAATTCAGACTCGTTAGGGCGTCCTAGCTAAATAGCAGGGCAAAGTGGGTAATTCAAACTCCTTAGGGCGTCCTAGCTAAATAGCAGGGCAAAGTGGGTAATTCAGACTCCTTAGGGCGTCCTAGCTAAATAGCAGGGCAAAGTGGGTAATTCAGACTCCTTAGGGCGTCCTAGCTAAATAGCAGGGCAAAGTGGGTAATTCAGACTCCTTCGGGCGTCCTAGCTAAATAGCAGGGCAAGTGGGTAATTCAGACTCCTTAGGGCGTCCTAGCTAAATAGCAGGGCAAAAGTGGGTAATTCAGACTCCTTAGGGACAACTAGCTAAATAGCAGGGCAAGTGGGTAATTCAGACTCCTTAGGGGCGTCTAGCTAAATAGCAGGGCAAAGTGGGTAATTTCAGGGACAACTACTAAATCAGGGCAAAGTGGGTAATTAGACTCCTTAGGGCGTCCTAGCTAAATAGCAGGGCAAAGTGGGTAAAGACTCCTTGGGCTAAATAGCAGGGCAAAAGTGGGTAATTCAGACTCCTTAGGGACAACTAGCTAAATAGCAGGGCAAAGTGGGTAATTCAGACTCCTTAGGCGTCCTAGCTAAATAGCAGGGCAAAGTGGGTAATTCAGACTCCTTAGGGCGTCCTAGCTAAATAGCAGGGCAAAGTGGGTAATTCAGACTCCTTAGGGACAACTAGCTAAATAGCAGGGCAAAGTGGGTAATTCAGACTCCTTAGGGGCGTCCCTAGCTAAATAGCAGGGCAAAGTGGGTAATTCAGACTCCTTAGGGACAAAGCTAAATAGCAGGGCAAAGTGGGTAATTCAGACTCCTTAGGGCGTCCTAGCTAAATAGGGGCAAAGTGGGTAATTCAGACTCCTTAGGGACAACTCAGACTCCTTAAATAGCTAAAATAGCAGGGCAAAGTATGCACTTCAGAGTCGTTAGCGGGGCAAACTGGGCACTTCAGTCTCGTTAACGTAAATAAATAGCAGGACAAAGTACGTACTTCAAACTCGTTAGGACATCCTAGCTAAATAGCAGGGCAAATTTAATACTTCAGATTCATTAGGGCAATATAACAATAGCAGGTCAAAGTGTACATTTCATAATCATGTGTGCCAACTAGCTAAATAGCAGGGGAAAGTGGTTGCTTCAGACTAGTTAGGGCAAACTAGTGAAGTAGCAGGGCAAAGTGGGTACTTCTGACTCGTTAGGGCTAACTAGCAAAATAGCAGGGCGAAGTGGGTGCTTCAGACTCATTAGAACCAACTAGATAAATAGCAGGGCAGACTAGTGGGCCAACTTAAATAGACTCAGTGCTTAGACACCAACTAGATAAATAGCAGCCAACTAGATAAATAGCAGGAAAGTGGGACTTTAGACTAGTAAGGGCCAACTAGTTAAATAGCAGGGCAAAATGAGTGCTTCAGACACGTTAGGGCCAACTAGCTAAATAGCAGAGGAAAGTGGGTACTTTAAACTCGTTAGGGCCAACTAGCAAAATAGCAGGGCGAAGTGGGTGCTTCAGACTCGTTAGAGCAAAACTTTAAACTCGGCTAAATAGCAAAGTGGGTACTTTAGAACCAACTAGCTAAATAGCAGGGCAAACTAGAGTGAAATGAAGTAGCAGGATCAAAGTGGGTACTTCTGACTCGTTAGGGCAAACTAGTTAAATAGCCGGGCAAAGAGCATTTCGAACCTTTAAAGATCAGATTTTACGTCCACGGCATCAAGCCACTCTCATTTCTTCTGCTTATTCCAAAATGTAAGGAGAAATTTTCATTCAGACAGCTTTTCCCCACCCCATAACTTCTTTGTGGAACAGACACACAGATAGATGCTTCTCTAAACACTATAATCGCAACCCCCTTTTATTCAAGGCTCAGTCGTTATCTATCCTCCCCAATCTTCACTCCCTAATACTTCCTCTTTCATTCATATCATACACTTCATTCATCATAACTATTTTAACGCTATCATTCTTCCTTAAGTGGCTCTTGAGACTTGTATAGAGGGAACTTTATTATAAGTAAGATAAAGTATAGAGCGTCTTTATATACCAGATATAATGCCAACGAAACAAATTCACTTCCTTGTTATTCATTTTTTAAATTATGCATAAAAAACCGTCCTGGGTATGACGATAAACTACATCCGCGTCCTGGGTATGACGATAAACTATATCCGCGTCATGGGTAAGACGATAAACTATATCCGCGTCCTGGGTATGACGATAAACCACATCTGCGTCCTAGGTAAGACAATAAACTACATCTATCTCCTGGGTATGACAATAAACTACGTCCAACAGCAAGGCCTTTGATCAAGAGGTTTTGAGGAGCGTGGAAACACCTCTTAATTGCTAGTGTTTCCAGGTCCACCCTGACCTGAGGTGGTAGAACCTGTTATGGGTAAATAGTTAACCCCCAAACTGGAGTCAAAACACTATGAAACTATAAAAATAGATTTTAATACCAGAAATTATTACCGGCAATAAATTTTTGAAGAAAAATTATTGCCCTATCATTATTACCAGCAATATATTTTTGAAAAAAAATATTACCAGCAATAAAAATCTTGTTAGCATTAAATAACTCATTGAGGTTGATATGTCGTAAAACAAAACAAACCAAACCAAAACAATCCCCCCCTCACCAAAAAACATCAATTCATCTTACTGCAACTATTTGCTAAACAACGAGACAAAGCGGGTACTTAACCTTGGTGGGTCAACCATTTTAAGAGAAGGGAAATTCTGCACGGTGGCGTAATGGATAGCGGCTCGGAATGAAGAATCGGAGATCCGAGTTCGAATACCAGTCGAATCCATTACGTGATAAATGTATAAATCCTTTTCTTCCCGCTCCAGCTATGGATAAATAGCGGGACAGACCGGGTTCTATAGACTTAGATGGCAACTGGTCTACCACAGAAAGAAATGGCAACCTACTGATAGACAAAAATCTGCCTCGTCAGTCATGTATTTTTCGATACATGGTCGCCTAAGCTGACTCAATTCTGGATTTACTACCAGCCAAGAAGGGTTGGCCGTCTTACCCTAGACACACCCGCTACTAGTAGTCGTAGTACTACTACTACTGCTGCTGCTGCCGCAGTTCATGTAGTGAGTAACCGAATCTGATTGATTACAGGAGTCGTGATTAGACGTTAATGTGTCTAATCTAGGTCTGATTAAAAGAGTTTTCTGCTTTGTAGATATCAGATCGATAGATATTTATGTAACCTCTGTGATGCGAGTAATTAGTAATGATTAATATAATGTTTCAAAAACCCGGAGTTCATGTGAACTCAAAAGTTAAACGGCATAACACAAATGATAAAAAACCTAAAAAGAGATGATGCTTAGCCGAATGTTTTGGTTCCCTAGGAGGCGAAAACAGACAAGATAGGAAGCAAAAATAAGATCTCCATCTATGTGCCGTGCTCTTTCAGGAAGCGGACGATCACAGCTCTCCACAATTTCCTATTCTTTGTAATATCCCTCGCACTCCCTATTTCGTTATCTTGTAGGGTAAATGAGCTTGTGTTCCTCTAATGATACAACACTAAATATTTCTTTTTCAATCCGTCGTTCTTGAGTTCCCGCACACGCCACCAACGTAAAAATCGTTCCCTTCTCACTGCTTCAGCCCTCTTTTATCATACCAAAACCACGGCTGACTGCCCAATTAGCGTTCTTCGCTTTGTCCTCAGTTACCCTGTCAAATAGCATCCTCCAAGTCCGACCAATCAGCACGCGACTTGCTGTACAAAAGCTACCGTTAGCGAATATACACTTTTGGAATAATCTAAAGTGATGAGGGGACATTCTTGCCATTTTCAAGGAACAAAATACCGCTGCTATGTGTCGTGTATTGATGTAAGGAACTTATTTTCATTTGCACTAGATGCAAGCTACTCTTGCTTCTACGTAATTGTTCACTACACATCTATTTACCCAGGCTCGTTATGTAGGCTAAACGCTGCTTGCCTCTGTCACTCTTGCATTCAACATGTCCTCTGGGTGTCACTATCTTCAAGCCCTTAATATTTGTCCTAGAAATGTCAATTCTCTCTTTCTGATTTTAAATATAAGCGTCCTAATTGTTTCCATTTTCACTAAAACTTCCTCATTATTTACAATATTCGGACTGTTATCCTAATCTTCTTTGCCATATTCACGACGTTTCGGCCTTCTTCAGGTAATTGGAATTTCGGACCGAAACGTTTATTTCAGCCACCGGGGTAGACTGTTCTAGTTCCACGTGCAATGCCATGCCTCTTCCGGATGTCTCAGTTATTTCTCTTTAACACAAATCACCAAGATTTTTGTTCACCGCTAC